GTACTGTGTGTATGACATGGTACCTACCTGGCTTTGTAAATAGCATGTACTGTGTGTATGCCATGGTACCTATCTGACTGTGTATATAGCATGTACTGCGGATGTGTATGACATGGTACCTACCTGGCTGTGTATATATCATGTACTGTGTGTATGACATGGTACCTACCTGACTGTGTATATAGCATGTACTGTGTGTATGACATGGTACCTACCTGGCTGTGTATATATCATGTTCTGTGTGTGTATGACATGGTACCTACCTGGCTGTGTATATAGCATGTTCTGAGTGTGTATGACATGGTACCTACCTGGATGTGTATATAGCATGTACTGTATGTGTATGACATGGTACCTACCTGGCTGTGTATATAGCATGTACTGTGTGTATGACATGGTACCTACCTGGCTGTGTATATAGCATGTACTGTGTGTATGCCATGGTACCTACCTGGCTGTGTATATAGCATGTACTGCGGATGTGTATGACATGGTACCTACCTGGTTGTGTATATAGCATGTACTGTGTGTGTATGACATGGTACCTACCTGGCTGTGTATATATCATGTTCTGTGTGTGTATGACATGGTACCTACCTGGTTGTGTATATAGCATGTACTGTGTGTGTATGACATGGTACCTACCTGGCTGTGTATATAGCATGTACTGTGTGTATGACATGGTACCTACCTGGCTGTGTATATAGCATGTACTGTGTGTATGACATGGTACCTACCTGGGTGTGTATATAGCATGTACTGTGTGTATGCCATGGTACCTACCTGGCTGTGTATATAGCATGTACTATGTGTATGCCATGGTACCTACCTGGCTATGTATATAGCATGTACTGTGTGTATGACATGGTACCTACCTGGTTGTGTATATAGCATGTACTGTGTGTGTATGACATGGTACCTACCTGGCTGTGTATATAGCAGGTACTGTGTGTATGACATGGTACCTACCTGGCTGTGTATATAGCATGTTCTGTGTGTGTATGACATGGTACCTACCTGGCTGTGTATATAGCATGTACTGTGTGTATGAAATGGTACCTACCTGGTTGTGTATATAGCATGTACTGTGTGTGTATGACATGGTACCTACCTGGCTGTGTATATAGCATGTGCTGTGTGTATGACATGGTACCTACCTGGCTGTGTATATAGCATGTTCTGTGTGTGTATGACATGGTACCTACCTGGTTGTGTATATAGCATGTACTGTGTGTATGACATGGTACCTACCTGGGTGTGTATATAGCATGTGCTGTGTGTATGACATGGTTCCTACCTGGCTGTGTATATAGCATGTACTGTGTGTATGCCATGGTACCTACCTGGCTGTGTATATAGCATGTACTGCGGATGTGTATGACATGGTACCTACCTGGTTGTGTATATAGCATGTACTGTGTGTGTATGACATGGTACCTACCTGGTTGTGTATATAGCATGTACTGTATGTATGACATGGTACCTACCTGGCTTTGTAAATAGCATGTACTGTGTGTATGACATGGTACCTACCTGGTTGTGTATATAGCATGTACTGTGTGTATGACATGGTACCTACCTGGCTGTGTATATAGCATGTACTGTGTGTGTATGACATGGTACCTACCTGGCTGTGTATATAGCATGTACTGTGTGTATGACATGGTACCTACCTGGCTGTGTATATAGCATGTACTGTGTGTATGCCATGGTACCTACCTGGTTGTGTATATAGCATGTACTGTGTGTGTATGACATGGTACCTACCTGGTTGTGTATATAGCATGTACTGTGTGTATGACATGGTACCTACCTGGCTGTGTATATAGCATGTTCTGTGTGTGTTTGACATGGTACCTACCTGGCTGTGTATATAGCATGTACTGTGTGTATGACATGGTACCTACCTGGGTGTGTATATAGCATGTACTGTGTGTATGACATGGTACCTACCTGGCTGTGTATATAGCATGTACTCTGTGTATGCCATGGTACCTACCTGGCTGTGTATATAGCATGTACTGCGGATGTGTATGACATGGTACCTATCTGGTTGTGTATATAGCATGTACTGTGTGTGTATGACATGTTACCTACCTGGTTGTGTATATAGCATGTACTGTGTGTATGACATGGTACCTACCTGGCTTTGTAAATAGCATGTACTGTGTGTATGACATGGTACCTACCTGGTTGTGTATATAGCATGTACTGTGTGTATGACATGGTACCTACCTGGCTGTGTATATAGCATGTTCTGTGTGTGTATGACATGGTACCTACCTGGTTGTGTATATAGCATGTACTGTGTGTGTATGACATGGTACCTACCTGGCTGTGTATATATCATGTTCTGTGTGTGTATGACATGGTACCTACCTGGTTGTGTATATAGCATGTACTGTGTGTGTATGACATGGTACCTACCTGGCTGTGTATATAGCATGTACTGTGTGTATGACATGGTACCTACCTGGCTGTGTATATATCATGTACTGTGTGTATGACATGGTACCTACCTGGCTGTGTATATATCATGTTCTGTGTGTGTATGCCATGGTACCTACCTGGCTGTGTATATAGCATGTACTGTGTGTATGACATGGTACCTACCTGGCTGTGTATATATCATGTTCTGTGTGTGTATGACACGGTACCTACCTGGCTGTGTATATAGCATGTACTGTATGTGTATGACATGGTACCTACCTGACTGTGTATATATCATGTACTGCGGATGTGTATTGCATGGTACCTACCTGACTCTGTATATAGCATGTACTGTGTGTGTATGACATGGTACCTACCTGGTTGTGTATATAACATGTACTCTGTGTGTATGACATGGTACCTACCTGTCTGTGTATATAGTATGTACTGTATGTGTAAGACTTTGTACCTTCCTGGCTGGGTATATAGTATGTACTGTGTGTGTATGACATGGTACCTACCTGCATGTGTATATGACATGTACTGTATGTGTATGACATGGTACCTACCTGAATGTGTATATGGCATGTACTGTGGATGAGTATGATATGGTACCTACCTAGCTGTGTATATAGCTTGTACTCTGTGTGTATGCCACATAGTCCCCGCATTACTTTGTATTTAGCATGTAATGTGGGTGTGTATGTTATAAAATAATCACATATTTCTTATGATTATAGAAAAAGCTGATTCAAAAATAGATATTTGATGGTTGGTTATGCGTTAACATGGCCTTAAAGTAAGCGGGTTTTTAACAACTGGACCCAGAGAGCTGTTATTGGTTAAGCTTCTTGAACTCTTTGACCTAGTAGTTTATCTATACGACAGTCTAAAGACATGGGTGTTTTCACATCCTCGGTCTATCATATTGGACCAATATAAGTTGTCTCTTGTTAATATGGCAAAGCCGAAAGGTAAAAACTGGGTCTGTATGTATGTATGAATAATTCTTGTCACCAAAAGGAGATGCCACATCAATCAACGGAGAAGAATGTAGGCCATAGAAAGCCCTGCAGAATAATCACTGTCAAACACAACCAACAACTCATAACGATACATATCTATATACAAACATACACATCCATACACAACCATACACAGCAATATGGACTTGTCACTTTAGTTGACGTGTTACTGCTTCTGGATGCGCGACATGCTTCTTACACTTGACAGGAAACGACCCATCTTAAAATGTTGTCTTATCTTACATTGCCTATCCGATGTTGAATATCATGAGATAATGATGTGTCAGGAAATGTCCTTTAAAGGGACAAGACTAAACTTGGCAGTCCCAAGTCATTCAAAATTGATTTTGTTTCCCTACAAAATTGATGTCAATCTTGCAGATTATTATACCCTCATTTCAGTCTCAGTTTAAAATTGTCATCAGGTGGCGGATCATATAGTCCTCCTTTGAAAAGCACAATTGCTAGCGAGTGTCAAATGTGTATGAGTGGAGCTGACCAGGTCTGACTTATATTTTAGTAGAACCATTGGAAACATAGGTGTATTAGCTTAACAATTTCATATTTCATACAAGCCAGGTATGACAGGAATATCAAAAACCAAAAAACAAACATGCCATATTACCACGTTATAAAAGATGGATACAAATATATACGACAAGATATGAAACGGCTGAAGGAAAGTGCAAAGTTTTCTTCTCAATCTATTTTCTAATTCTCGCCACAATGTTCTCAGTTGGAATATGGGTTAGTGAACGATATAGCCATCGCCCGGGGCAGGTCGTAGGACGCCCAGAGGGATATAAAAGAAGAGGCCAAGACGTAGCCTCACAACCAACTCCTGCTACTCACAGGTAAGTTGTCGAGCTACATCCTTGTCATGGAAAGGTGAGCGAGCCACCCGTGTCCCCCATTTACGATCTTAAGCTGGTCACGATTAACGTACAACGTCAGAAGGAGGCGATTGATGCAATAGTTGGTAGTGGAAATGTTTTGTTACCTAAGATGGTTAATAGTGTCCCTATGATATGAGTTGCTGATATATTTGCTGGTGGATGTATATTTTTATGGATGTATATTTATTGGTGGATGTATATTTTTTGTAGTTGTATTTCGGTTGGTGGATGTACATTGGTTGGTGGATGTACATTGGTTGGTGGTTGAATATTTGTTGGTGGGTGTATATTTGTTGGTGGATGTATATTTGTTGGTGGATGTATAATTTGTGTGGATGTATATTGGTTGGTGGATGTATATATGCTGGTGGATGTATATATTTTGTGGATGTATATTAATTTTGTTGGTGGATGTATATTTTTTTGTAGATGTATTTTGGTTGGTGGATGTGCATTGGTTCATAGATGTATATTGGTTGGTGGATGTATATTTGTTGGTGGATGTATATTTTTTGTAGATGTATTTTGGTTGGTGGATGTGCATTGGTTCATAGATGTATATTAGTTGGTGGATGTATATTTGTTGGTGGATGTATATTTTTTGTAGATGTATTTTGGTTGGTGGATGTGCATTGGTTCATAGATGTATATTGGTTTGTAAATGTATATTAGTTGGTGGATGTACATTGGTTGGTGGATGTATATTTGTATGGGGATGTTTATTTTTTGTGGATGTATATTAGTTGGTGGATGTATATTTGTTGGTGGATGTATATTTTTTGTAGATGTATTTTGGTTGGTGGATGTGCATTGGTTCATAGATGTATAATGGTTGGTGAATGTATATTTGTTGGTGGAAGTATATTTTTTTGTAGATGTATTTTGGTTGGTGGATGTGCATTGGTTCATAGATGTATATTAGTTGGTGGATGTATATTTGTTGGTGGATGTATATTAGTTGGTGGGTGTATATTGGTTGGTGGATGTACATTGGTTGGTAAATGTACATTAGTTGGTGGATGTATATTAGTTGGTGGATGTATATTTGTTGGTTGGTGTATATTGGTTGGTGGATGTATATTAGTTGGTGGATGTATATTTGTTGGTGTATGTACATTGGTTGGTAAATGTACATTAGTTGGTGGATGTATATTTGTTGGTTGGTGTATATTGGGTGGTGGATGTATATTAGTTGGTGGATGTATATTTGTTGGTGTATGTACATTGGTTGGTTAATGTACATTAGTTGGTGGATGTATATTTGTTGGTTGGTATATATTGGTTGGAGGATGTATATTAGTTGGTGGATGTATATTTGTTGGTGGATGTATATTAGTTGGTGGATGTATATTTGTTGGTGGATGTACATTGGTTGGTAAATGTACATTAGTTGGTAAATGTACATTAGTTGGTGGATGTATATTTGTTGGTTGGTGTATATTTGTTGGTGGATGTATATTAGTTGGTGGATGTATATTGGTTGGTGGATGTTTATGTGTTGGTGGATGTATATTGGTTGGTGGATGTACATTGGTTGGTAAATGTACATTAGTTGGTGGATGTATGTTGGTTGGTACATGGAATATTGCTACATTTACCATTAAATAAATTTTCATGGAGATGCTATTTCAGGTTTAACCAGAGTTTAACTATGTTTTGTTTTTGTTTTTAATTAGATGGGTATATGGTGCATCTACATGTCACGCACCAGTCAAGTCTCCATGTTGGAACGTAGGGTACTAACGTGACAATATCGGGAAGTGTGTCAACAACTGGTACCTCTAGTGAACTGAAGGAAGGCCTTGTCCCACCTCTTACCATGTAGGCAGTTATCCTCTGTGCATGTGGTCTGTGATGAGTTGTGTTTTTTTCTAGCCGACACGTGGAATAATGAGTGGCACCACCAAGATAGAGTACCGCTACCTGGGACGTTCCGGGCTGAAGGTGTCCTGCGTGTGTCTGGGTACCATGATGTTCGGAGAGAGGCAGGTAGGGCTGACTCCACAATCCTCATCTGTACGTCAGTTAGTGTCCATATCACCTCACTTTCTTCTGTTCGGCCTTTTCGAGCACATAAATAATACCAATCGGGTTGTGGGTGATGTGACGTCTAAGGTTTTGAGTATGTTTCAAATGAAATGTGGCACGGCAACGTTGTAGGCAAACATTGTGTGTAAATCGTTAAATGCAAACAAAATGAACTTTGCCTGAATGTGTAGGAACTACAACTCGGAATGTTGCAATTAGCAAGTCAGTATCTGAAACCGACTACCACTGATCGCCTACCTGGTGTGCTGACAATGTCCTGCTGCAAGATCCTACCCTCGCTATGCAAGTTTACTTTCACCCACGCCAGCACGTGCTGCATGCTAACTTAAACGCAATCCACGAAGCTGTTGTGTATTTTTTAATCAACAACTATCTATCGGAACATGACTCTTGTTCCCGGACGCTCCAGAACACCCCTACCCTGTGACTGTGTTGACAATATGTGTTGCAGAACCCCTACCTAGGCTAGTGTGACTGTGTTGACAATGTGTGTTGCAGAACCCCTACCTGGGCTAGTATGACTGTGTTGACAATGTGTGTTCCAGAACCCCTACCTGGGCTAGTGTGACTGTGTTGACAATGTGTGTTGCAGAACCCCTACCTGGGCTAGTGTGACTGTGTTGACAATGTGTGTTCCAGAACCCCTACCTGGGCTAGTGTGACTGTGTTGACAATGTGTTTTGCAGAACCCCTACCTGGGCTAGTGTGACTGTGTTGACAATGTGTGTTGCAGAACCCCTACATGGGCTAGTGTGACTGTGTTGACAATGTGTGTTGCAGAACCCCTTCCCTGGCCAGTGTGACTGTGTTGATTGGTGTGTTGACAATGTGTGTTGCAGAACCCCTACCCTGGCCACTCTGACTGTGTTGTAAATGTGTGTTGCAGAACCCCTTCCCTGGCCAGTGTGACTGTGTTCATTGGTGTGTTGACAATGTGTGTTGCAGAACCCCTACCCTGGCCAGTGTCACTGTGTTGTTAAGGTGTGTTGCAGAACCCCTACCCTGGCCAGTGTGACTGTGTTGTCTGGTGTGTTGACACTGTGTGTTGCAGAACACCTTCCCTGGCCAGTGTGACTGTGTTCATTGGTGTGTTGAAAATGTGTGTTGCAGAACCCCTACCCTGGCCAGTGTCACTGTGTTGTCAAGGTGTGTTGCAGAACCCCTACCCTGGCCAGTGTGACTGTGTTGTCAAGGTGTGTTGGAGAACACCTACCCTGGCCAGTGTGACTGTGTTGTCTGGTGTGTTGACAATGTGTGTTGCAGAACCCCTACCCTGACCAGTGTGACTGTGTTGATTGGTGTGTTGTCAATGTGTGTTGCAGAACCCCTTCCCTGGCCAGTGTGACTGTGTTGATTGGTGTGTTGACAATGTGTGTTGCAGAACCCCTACCCTCGCCAGTGTGACTGTGTTGTCAATGTGTGTTGTCAATGTGTGTTGGAGAACCCATACCCTGGCCAGTGTGACTGTGTTGTCTGGTGTGTTGACAATGTGTGTTGCAGAACCCCTACCCTAGCCAGTGTCACTGTGTTGACAGGTGTATTGCAGAACCCCTACCCTAGCCAGTGTCACTGTTGACAGGTGTGTTGACAGCTGTGTTGCAGAACCCCTACCCTAGCCAGTGTCACTGTGTTGTCAATGTGTGTTGCAGAACCCCTACCCTGGCCAGTGTGACTGTGTTGTCAATGTGTGTTGCAGAACCCCTTCCATAGCCAGTGTGACTGTGTTGATTGGTGTGTTGACAATGTGTGTTGCAGAACTCCTACCCTGGCCAGTGTGACTGTGTTGTCAATGTGTGTTGTCAATGTGTGTTAGAGAACCCCTACCCTAGCCAGTGTGACTGTGTTGACAATGTGTGTTGCAGAACCCCTAACCTAGCCAGTGTGACTGTGTTCACAGGTGTATTGACAATGTGTGTTGCAGAACCCCTTCCCTGGCCAGTGTGACTGTGTTGTCTGGTGTGTTGACAATGCGTGCTGCAGAACCCTTACCCTGGCCAGTGAGGCTGTGTAGTCAATGTGTGTTGCGGAACCCCTACCCTGGCCAGTGTGACTGTGTTGATTGATGTGTTGACAATGTATGTTGCAGAACCCCTACCCTGGCCAGTGTGACTGTGTTGTCTGGTGTGTTGTCAATGTGTGTTGCGGAACCCCTACCCTGGCCAGTGTGACTGTGTTGATTGATGTGTTGACAATGTATGTTGCGGAACCCCTACCCTGGCCAGTGTGACTGTGTTGATTGATGTGTTGACAATGTATGTTGCAGAACCCCTACCCTGGCCAGTGTGACTGTGTTGTCTGGTGTGTTGTCAATGTGTGTTGCAGAACCCCTACCCGGGCCAGTATAACTGTGTTGATAGGTGTGTTGCAGTACCCCTACCCTAGCCAGTGTCACTGTGTTGAAAGGTGTGTTGACAATGTGTGTTGCAGAACCCCTACCCTAGCCAGTGTCACTGTGTTGACAGTGGTGTTGACACAGTATGTTGCAGAACCCCTACCCTAGCCAGTGTGACTATCTTGACAGGCGTGTTGACAATGTGTCTTTCAGAACCCATACCCGGGCCAGTGTGACGCCGCCAACTCGCATGCTCTGCTCGACCGTTTCTTTGAACTAGGAGGCAACTTCATCGACACGGCCGACCTCTACTCTTTGGGTCAGTCGGAAGCCATCATAGGACAGTGGATGAACGGGTGCGTCACTAATACTTAGAGCTTTCTCCCTATTCAACATTTACATTATCAACACCGTGCCTGTCAGGAGCTACATATTGAAAAATAATGTATTTACATACCAGCGGAAAAAGTAACTGTCCATCTTATGAAATGAAACCTTTATATATTTGGTAATTCGTCTGATCAATGTTTCTTCATAACAAATATATATATATGTATATATATAGTGAGACTTTCGCGCTGAGAAGCAGCAAGCAACACCGCTCTGTATCTGAATGAAGTTTGCGTAGTCTATGTTCAGCACATCTGTCATAGATTGGCACTGCGTGTGTGAACATACGTATAATGCGTCTCTAAAGTTTCAAGTCTGAGTTTTCAACATCAATGTTATTGCCTATTCTGAGTGTCTTGTTTCTTAATTTTTGGAAGATTACAGTCACTGAATCTTCTCAACACCAAATCCATACCAATCAGGGAAGCCAAACCGACCTTGACGGGGTAACCAGACCCATTGTGTACAGTGGTGAGCAGCGTCCATACATGAGGTTACTCAGCTCAATCAAACTTTCCAGGCTTACTTCATCCTTTAACATTGCATGCACAGGCAGGAAGCGCACGAGACGGGGTTGCCGAGGAGGCAGAAAAAGGAAGCGACACATACAAATTGTTACCTCATCACGAAGACATCTCTGCGCACAACCAGCACAGCATGGGATAAACAAAGACAACCTGATGTATATATCTACGCATCTAAATAAGAGAAAGACCAACAGGTTGTGTTTATGCGACGCCAGATCAGTCCGGAACAAGTCGGCAGGGCTTAATGAATGCATTAATGAACATACTCTTGAGGTATTTGTTATTACAGAAACAATGGTGAAAGAATGTGACATGGTTGTCATCAATAACCTCTTCCCAGACGGTTATTCCATTGTTTTGAGTCATGGCTCAGGTCGGCAATGCGGAAGTGTTGCCCTTGTACATAGACCTGAAATTGGTGTCAAACATGTAGGTCAAAACCTCAGGTCGTACAGTTGCTTACAACAACTAGCCCTCAGATTAGCCATAGATGGGGCGCCATTACCTTGTGTCTACCGTCCTCCTTCAACGGGGAACAACACAGCATCTCCTGACCAGGTTATTGAAGAACTGACCCATTTCTGGAACTAGCCAGTAACACCAGTGAACATTTATTATTTGCTGGGGATTTTAACATCCATGTTCGATGATGATAAAAATCCAGGAACGAGAAAGTTTTGGGACTCTGTTTTCAGACTAAGTCTGAAGCAGCATGTCTCTCATCCTACACCTCAGAATGGACGTACGCTTGATTTGTCAATCAGTAAATATTCTGATGACATCATACCCAACGTTCAGACAACGAACAGTGGCATCGCTGACCACTACAGTGTTGTTACGAATCTTCAAATCAAGAAACCAAAACCAGTAAGAAAGACCATCTCCTATCGAAAGAACAGATCAATCGACCTCAACCAATTTGAGAACAATATTAAAATCGTGGGTTACCTGAATGAAAGTGATATCGGAATCAGAGACTGCGATACTTGACTCTAAAAAAGGCCACATAAGAGATTACAAGGACACTTCGTCACGTGCTGGACAGCTGTGGCATACACATGTAACGACGTGTAGTTGGATGGCAGATTCGGTCACAACTGCTAAGCATGAACGTCGATTAGTAGAAAAAAGAGGAGGCATACAAGGCTTGAGCTTCACAGTCAGGTATTTCAATCAGCAAGGAACAAAGTGATTATTCTTTTACGGCAGTCGAGGCTTTCCATAGCAGGCAAACAGTTATTGAAAATAGAAACAACTCCAGGCAACCCTAGGTCCTGGTGTACAAACGTTTTGGAACAAGCGGAATTACAGTTAACCGTATATTTCTTTCCATTTGTGCAGAGTACAAATATTTTGCTAAATTAGTAATAATGTTAAAATTTGGCGATGACATCAAAATGTTAAATTTATGTATGTTAGTTTGAAGATGTATAACTGTCTTAACTGTACATATGCTGGACACACTGAAAGAAAATGGAATTCATGTAGTTTCAACGCAGTGTAAGTTACAAGTTTTACATTTTCTTAAATTCCTAGGTATATTGAAGTGACTTCTACGCTAAATTTCCAGATCATGACAACTTAAACAAGAAAGAAAATAGCGCTAAGAAATGAAACCATTATATGTCTGTATTTTGGGCCACTGGCCTCTATACAGAATAAAATTGTCTTGTCTTGTCTTGTCTTGTCTTGTCTTGTTCTGTCTTGTTCTGTCTTGTCTTGTCTTGTTCTGTCTTGTTTTGTCTTGTCTTGTCTTGTCTTGTCTTGTTCTGTCTTGTCTTGTTCTGTCTTGTCTTGTTCTGTCTTGTCTTGTCTTGTCTTGTTCTGTCTTGTTCTGTCTTGTTCTGTCTTGTCTTGTCTTGTCTTGTGTGTCTTGTTCTGTCTTGTCTTGTCTTGTTCTGTCTTGTTCTGTCTTGTCTTGTCTTGTTCTGTCTTGTCTTGTCTTGTTCTGTCTTGTTCTGTCTTGTCTTGTCTTGTCTTGTCTTGTCTTGTCTTGTCTTGTCTTGTCTTGTCTTGTCTTGTCTTGTCTTGTCTTGTCTTGTCTTGTCTTGTCTTGTCTTGTTCTGTCTTGTCTTGTTCTGTCTTGTCTTGTCGTGTCTTGTCTTGTCTTGTCTTGTTCTGTCTTGTTCTGTCTTGTCTTGTCTTGTCTTGTCTTGTTCTGTCTTGTTCTGTCTTGTCTTGTACTGTCTTGTCTTGTTCTGTCTTGTCTTGTCTTGTCTTGTTCTGTCTTGTTCTGTCTTGTCTTGTCTTGTCTTGTCTTGTTCTGTCTTGTCTTGTCTTGTCTTGTCTTGTCTTGTCTTGTCTTGTCTTGTCTTGTCTTGTTCTGTCTTGTCTTGTCTTGTCTTGTCTTGTCTTGTTCTGTCTTGTCTTGTCTTGTCTTGTCTTGTTCTGTCTTGTTTTGTCTTGTCTTGTCTTGTTCTGTCTTGTCTTGTCTTGTCTTGTCTTGTTCTGTCTTGTCTTGTCTTGTCTTGTTCTGTCTTGTTCTGTCTTGTCTTGTCTTGTCTTGTTCTGTCTTGTCTTGTCTTGTCTTGTCTTGTCTTGTTCTGTCTTGTCTTGTTCTGTCTTGTCTTGTCTTGTTCTGTCTTGTCTTGTCTTGTCTTGTCTTGTCTTGTCTTGTCTTGTCTTGTCTTGTCTTGTCTTGTCTTGTCTTGTCTTGTCTTGTCTTGTCTTGTCTTGTTCTGTCTTGTCTTGTCTTGTCTTGTCTTGTCTTGTCTTGTCTTGTCTTGTCTTGTCTTGTCCTGTCCTGTCCTGTCCTGTCCTGTCCTGTCCTGTCCTGTCCTGTCCTGTCCTGTCCTGTCCTGTCCTGTCTTGTCTTGTCTTGTCTTGTCTTGTCTTGTCTTGTCTTGTCTTGTCTTGTCTTGTCTTGTCTTGTTCTGTCTTGTCTTGTCTTGTCTTGTCTTGTCTTGTCTTGTCTTGTCTTGTCTTGTCTTGTCTTGTTCTGTCTTGTCTTGTCTTGTCTTGTCTTGCCTTGCCTTGCCTTGCCTTGCCTTGCCATGCCTTGCCTTGCCTTGCCTTGCCTTGTCTTGTCTTGTTTTCTTTTGTTTTCTTTTGTTTTGTCTTGTCTTGTCTTATTTCCAAACCCTCATCTACACAGACAGTTTCTTAGCTTTGTAGTCCCGACCAGGTTTGGGAGAACCTGTGGTTTCCGGAAACAGATCCCAAAGAAACAAACACCAAAATCAAGGGCAGCACCATATAAATCATGCACTAGATCCTGTGTGAAAAGATGCACAAACACCTGTGCTCCTGTGATGGCATCTATCATTAACACTACATTACAAGATGGATGTTTTCCGAATTCCTTCAAATGTGCCATTATCACTCCCCTCCTCTCTGGACAGGACAGGCCTTAAGAAGTATTCCTATCCAAGATTGTTCTCATGACGTTAAATCAACATTTATATGAACATCAGCTTCTTGAGGAATTCCAATCTGCCTACAAGTCGAAACACCGAAACTGTCCAACGAAAAGTCAATTATGACGTTCTGCGATATCTGGATATGCATGAAGTTGTGCTTTTGGTAATGCTAGATATTTCGGCTAATTTCGACACTGTGCATCACCATATTCTTCTTACTCTTCTAGAATATGAATTTATAATTCAGGGTCTTATCTGACTGGGCGTACAAGTCCAAGTTGATGGAAATAAATCCACTTCATGTCGTATTTCCTGTGGAGTCCCGCAAGGTTCAGCTTTGGGACATTCTTTGTTTTCATTATACATTCAACCCATTGGCAGCATAATAGGGAAACATGGACTCAACTTCCACGGATGTGTTCATGACAATCAGTTATATCTAGGAATCAAGCCAGATAAAGTTCAACATTACAAAGTGGGCGGGAGGACTGTATTTACGATATCCGTCGCTGGACGTCAGCTAATTCATAATTCTTGGTACTCACCAACAGCTTCTGAATGTTTTATCTACATCTGCGGGACTCATATTCAGCCCACACATCAAGTGCGACTATCCCAGTCTTCTCTTCTGAAGATCAGCATGCCCGTTAACGTTGGGGCAAAATTGGGCGTATCGCTGGACGTCGAGCCTGGATGTTTGTGCTCCCTCAACAAGTTGCGTACAGTTCTGCCATTAATTGGTTTCAACCCGGGAATTGTTCAAGCTGTTAATGTGTCGGTTTGGTATCGATTTCGTAAAAGCACCAGATGAAAATTGTTGTCTTGTTGACGTGATGTCACAAGTGGACCACCGGCCCGTGGCAGATCATGAGTGTTGCCTTGCTATAGATAACGTCTCTAAAGGGATTATATTGTGTTTCGGTGAACATTAAAGTGCCTGGCAACTTCGTTTTGCGCCATTCCTGTTTGCTCCCAACAAAAATCTAAATTGTGCGCCGAACAAATGTGCAAACTGTGAATCTTCATGAATATGTATTGAAAGATGCATTATTTAATTTTAGAATACATTTATTTTAATTGAACTTCATATGAAGCACAGTTACTATTTTTCCCGTTAGTATACATGTAAATACGGGTGGATCACACAACTGTTAGGTAATTGAAAATAAAAAATTATGAACTAAATAAAACAGGCGAACTATAAAAGGTTTTGTTTGTTCTCTTCCCCGTCACTAATGTTTACATTAAACACAGGGCAAGGCGATGTCATATTTTTACGTCACCTTGCAGGCGCAGCCGAGACGATGTCGTGCTTGCGACAAAGGTGGGACTCCACTCCGACAGCCAGGGGTTGAGCCGACGTTCCATCACACAGTCCGTGGAGAGAAGCCTGGAGAGATTACAGACACACTACATAGACCTGTATCAGGTAAGCCTATAACACAAATATAAATCACTGACCGAGACCAGCAACACGTGCTAAGGCTGCTCCAATACATTGACCGCGACTAGCCCCACACGCTAAGGGTGCCCCATACCACAAACACAGGGCATTGACCGCGACTAGTCCCACACGCTAAGGGTGCCCCATACCACAAACAAAGGGCATTGATCGCGACTAGTCCCACACGCTAAGGGTGCCCCATACCACAAACACAGGGTATTGATCGCGACTAGTCCCACACGCTAAGGGTGCTCCACACCACAAACATAGGTCATTGTTCACGACTAGCCCCACACGCTAAGGGTGCTCCAAACCACAACGTAGGGCAATGACCGCGACTAGCCCCACACGCTAAGGGTGCTCCATACCACAAACATAGGGCATTGACCGCGACTAGTCCCACACGCTAAGGGTGCCCCATACCACAAACACAGGGCATTGACCGCGACTAGTCCCACACGCTAAGGGTGCCCCATACCACAAACACAGGGCATTTACCGCGACTAGTCCCACACACTAAGGGTGCTCCACACCACCAACACAGGGCATTGACCGCGACTAGTCCCACACGCTAAGGGTGCTCCAAACCACAAACACAGGGCAATGACCGCGACTAGCCCCACACGCTAAGGGTGCTCCATACCACAAACATAGGTCATTGATCGCGACTAGTCCCACACGCTAAGGAAGCCACATACCACAAACACAGGGCATTGACCGCAACAAGTCCCACACGCTAAAGGTGCTCCACACCACAAACATAGGTCACTGACCAACATAAGCAACACGCGCTCAGGGTGCTCCACACCACAAACATAGGTCACTGACCAACATAAGCAACACGCGCTCAGGGTGCTCCAATACCAAAAACATAGGTCACTGACCAACATAAGCAACACGCGCTAAGGGTGCTCCAATACCAAAAACATAGGTCATTGACCAATATAAGCAGCACACGCTAAGGGTGCTCCACACCACAAACATAGGTCATTGACCAACATAAGCAACACACGCTCAGGGTGCTCCACACCACAAACATAGGTCATTGACCAATATTAGCAACACGCTCAGGGTGCTCCAATACCACAAACATAGGTCATTGACCAGTATTAGCAACATGCGTGGAGGGTGCTCCACACCACAAACATAGGTCATTGACCAATATTAGCAACACGCGCTCAGGGTGCTCCAATACCAAAAACATAGGTCATTGACCAATATAAGCAACACACGCTCAGGGTGCTCCACACCACAAACATAGGTCATTGACAAATATTAGCAACAAACGCTAAGGGTGCTCCACACCACAAACATAGGTCATTAACCAATATTAGCAACACGCTCAGGGTGCTCCAATACCACACACATAGGTCATTGACCAATATTAGCAACACACGCTAAGGGTGTTCCACACCACAAACATAGGTCATTGACCAATATTAGCAACACACGCTAAGGGTGCTCCAATACCAAAAACATAGGTCATTGACCAATATTAGCAACACACGCTAAGGGTGCTCCACACCACAAACATCGGTTATTGACCGAGACCAGCAGCAGGCACTTAGAGTGCTCCAATACCACAAACATCGCTCCATCATCAAAATAGTCCGAAGGTCCAGAGCATGTTTGTACGCCGCTTTTAGCAGTGTTCCAGCAGGGGACACCAGTAATGGGATTCAAACATTGTACCCTATGGCGAGGCGGGCGAACGTTTCAACCACGATGCTGCCCCGCCGCTCCGTTGCAGGGTAATAGGTTGCATAGCACGATTTACCGCTATACTGACAAGGTGTTTTTGTGTATATCAGACACACTTCTGGGACAAGGGGACTCCTGCTGAGGAGACTGTGCGGACGTTTGACGACCTCGTCCGGTGCGGTAAGATCCGGTACGGCGGCAACAGCAACCTGTGTGGCTGGATGGTGCAGAAGATGGCAGACATCACAGACCGACTTGGGCTCAACCCCTTCATCAGCCTACAGGTGAGCCAAACACGCATGTATCTCAACCCACAGGCCGTACCCATCGTACTTATTAGTTAGTTCCTAAGAAAGATAGGTCCGTGTTAACTCAAGAACCCGCCATGCTGTCATGTTGTGGGTATTACGGATTCTGTTGATAGGGCATTTATGAAATTGAGATTATTTAGAAACCATGTACATGTGTAAAAGGAATTATATATTTAAAAACTACCGACAACCTAATGATTTGAAAGTGGCTATCGTTGAGGCGAACATTTACAACATCGTGGCGGCTGAACGCAACATCTAATCACAATGAAAGGTTACGTTATGCATGAACAGCACTGATGCAGGTACACACATAAGACAAACCCACAATCACTAAATCACCTACAACAGCTAAGCACAAGTTTAGAAAGGCACCTATGCAAGATCGTCTCATTACATTACTTACATTACGCAATAGATTCTGCTCCTGTTCTCCAATAGAGAAATCCGTACGACAACAGGAAGGCAAATTTCAACATCTACCGTAAAAAAGTCTTTATTGAGCCCGCCTGAAAGCGGGTGAGCGGTACTTGACCACAGATCGACATGTGGTAACATGTCTGTGTGTGGTAACTGTGCCTGTGTGGTATATGTTTCTGTGTTTGATAACTGTGTCTGTGTGTGGTAAATGTGTCTGTGTGTGATAACTGTGTCTGTGTGTGGTATATGTGTCTGTGTGTGATAACTGTGTCTGTGTGTGGTAACTGTCTGTGTGGTATATGTGTCTGTGTGTGATAACTGTGTCTGTGTATGGTAACTGTCTGTGTGGTATATGTGTCTGAGTATGATAACTGTGTCTGTGTGTGGTAACTGTGTCTGTGTGTGATAACTGTGTCTGTGTGTGGTAACTGTGCCTGTGTGTGGTATGTGTGTGGTAACTGTGTATGTGTGTGGTAACTATGCCTGTGTGTGATAACTGTCTGTGTGTGATAACTCTGTGTGTGTGTGTGATAACTGTCTGTGTGTGATAACTGTGTCTTTGTGTGGTAACTGTGTCTGTATGTGGAAACTGTGTCTTTGTGTGGTAACTGTATCTGTGTGTGGTAACTGTGTCTGTGTGTGATAACTGTCTGTGTGTGATAACTCTGTGTGTGTGTGTGTGTGTGATAACTGTCTGTGTGTGATAACTGTGTCTTTGTGTGGTAACTGTGTCTGTATGTGGTAACTGTGTCTGTGTGTGGTATATGTGTCTGTGTGTGATAACTGTGTCTGTGTGTGATAACTGTGTCTGTGTGTGATACTTGTCCTCAGATCTACATGTGGTAACTGTGTCTGTGTGTGGTATATGTGTCTGTGTGTGATAACTGTGTCTGTGTGTGATACTTGTCCTCAGATCTACATGTGGTAACTGTGTCTGTGTGTGGTATATGTGTCTGTGTGTGATAACTGTGTCTGTGTGTGATACTTGTCCTCAGATCTACATGTGGTAACTGTGTCTGTGTGTGGTATATGTGTCTGTGTGTGATAACTGTGTCTGTGTGTGATACTTGTCCTCAGATCTACCTGTGGTAACTGTGTCTGTGTGTGGTATATGTGTCTGTGTGTGATAACTGTGTCTGTGTGTGATACTTGTCCTCAGATCTACATGTGGTAACTGTGTCTGTGTGTGGTATATGTGTCTGTGTGTGATAACTGTGTCTGTGTGTGATACTTGTCCTCAGATCTACCTGTGGTAACTGTGTCTGTGTGTGGTATATGTGTCTGTGTGTGATAACTGTGTCTGTGTGTGATACTTGTCCTCAGATCTACATGTGGTAACTGTATCTGTGTGTGGTATATGTGTCTGTGTGTGATAACTGTGTCTGTGTGTGATAACTGTGTCTGTGTGTGATACTTGTCCTCAGATCTACATGTGATAACTGTGTCTGTGTGTGGTAACTGTGTATGTGTGTGATAACTGTGTCTGTGTGTGATACTTGTCCTCAGATCTACATGTGGTAACTGTGTCTGTGTGTGGTAACTGTGTCTGTGTGTGATAACTGTGTCTGTGTGTGATAACTGTGTCTGTGTGTGATACTTGTCCTCAGATCTACATGTGGTAACTGTGTCTGTGTGTGGTATGTGTCCACAGCAACGCTACAGCCTTGGTACCCGAGATTCGGAGTGGGATGCCTTCGCTGTGTGTAATCAGGTCGGCATTGGTGTGATGGCTTGGGGGACACTGATGAGGTGAGACATTCTGAAGGCGATGTTTCATACATTGGCTTTCGATCTACCTGTGTACCAGGGCATTTCCATATCGTGTTCATCTCGGGAATTCACACGTAGGTATGTTCGGACTTACATGTGTAGGATAATGATGATGCCATTATATATTTTGTCTCGATCACTCACGCACTTGTGCGTGATCCAGCTAGCTGTACATTATCATATATCAATTCTACAATTGCATTACAAAAAATGTCATTACCAAAATAAGTTGATTTCGGCTCCAATTTAGAATGACTGTGACATAAAGTCAATATACATTATTACAAAAGCCATATGCCCTGTAACAGCGGCCTACTCACGGGGAAGTACAAGCGCGGGGACCCGCAGGTCAACAGTAGTCAGGGGACCCGCCTGGCCTGGCTGGCAGAGGACGAGTCCAGGTGTCAGCGGATCTTCCCCTCCTGGACCAAGCTGCAGGCAGACACACGACTGTGGAACACACTCGACGTTCTCACGCATGTCGCCAACACCCACAGTAGGTACCACGCTCACACAGCTTGCCCAACCCGACTGTGTACAGTGTACAAGGGCTGTCAGGTCTGCCTGGTGTACATGGATTAACAAAATCGCACAGGGCCACGGATAGCCATACTATACTGACTGTACTGATTACATTAAAAAAAAAAGTCTTTTTTTAATTTTATCAGTACAGTCAGTATAGTATGGCTATCCGTGGCCCTGTGCAAAATCGGATCAAAACTTAACGGCTGGAACAAAATTTAGCTCCATATGAATGCGATCACGATGCCTATTGCTGGTAAAAAGCGATTAAATTGAATTGAAGGCTGAATCTGTTTCTGGAAGTTATGTTTAGGCCATTCAACTTATTCCCGTAAGTAGGCATACGTTAAGTTGAAGATTGTAGTTTTCAAAGTCATCGTAAACCATGTGGGTATAACTTTTCTAACTGACCACTTTACAGAAATGCCTTAATCAATGACATTTCAGTTGACAGACACGCGTGTTTCACGATCAAGCGCTGGGAAGTCTTTTTCAGTCGTTCAGTCGACATTAATCATTTTTCTGAACAGATATGTTTCAGTTGTGAAAACGTATAAAAATACATCTTGTAATACCGAAATGCAGGGGTCAGCTACAGTGTTACGTTTGTCGGTAGCCTTTTGTTAAAGTGTTTTGTTTGAATACGATGGTTTTATTTCCTTCGGTGTGCGGATAGATTCCTGTCGACCGTTTTATGCAATTCAATGAAATCATGAGTTGCAGCAGTGACTACTTCATCCCTGTAAACGAGGGTTTAAAAGTGGACGCCAAGACTGTTATATCTCTGGTATACCAAATAACCATGCACTGCCACACTGCAGATATGCCAGTCGTGGGAGCCCGCACCTCATGCGACCGCCTGCTCAACATCTCCAAATGTCTTTCAGATAGGAGTGTATCCCAAGTTGCACAGAAGTGGGTCCTGCACAAAAACGTAGCATCAATAATTATCGGCAGCAGGGACATCCCACAACTCGAGGCCAACATGGCGGCTGGCAACAGGGACTGGGAACTCTCCCCAGAGGAGGTAGGACACCAACAACGTTTAACATTAGGACACCTCAGACAACATTTAACATTAGGACATCACCGACAACGTTTAACATTAGGACACCTCAGACAACATTTAACATTAGGACATCATCGACAACGTTTAACATTAGGACACCTCAGACAACATTTAACATTAGGACATCACCGACAACGTTTAACATTAGGACACCTCAGACAACATTTAACATTAGGACATCACCGACAACGTTTAACATTAGGACACCTTAGACAACATTTGACATTAGGACATCACCGACAACGTTTAACATTAGGACACCTCAGACAACATTTAACATTAGGACATCACCGACAACGTTTAACATTAGGACACCTCAGACAACATTTAACATTAGGACATCACCGACAACGTTTAACATTAGGACAACGCCGACAACGTTTAACTTTAGGACATCACCGACAACGTTTAACATTAGGACACCTCAGACAACATTTAACATTAGGACAACGCCGACAACGTGTTTTATTAAGACACCTCTGACTGCGTGTTCCATTAGGACACCTCCAACAACGTTTAACAATAGGACACTTCTGAAAATATGTTTCATTATAGACTATTAGGACACCTCTGACAATGTTTAACATTAGGACACCTCCGACAGCGTGTTTCATAAGGACACCTCCAACAACGTTTAACATTAGGACACCTACAACAGCGTGTTTCATTAAGATACCTCCGACAGCATGTTTCATTAGGACACCTCTGACAATGTGATTCATTAAGACACCCCCAACAACGTTTAACACTAGGACACCACCGACAACATTTAACATAAGGACACCTCCGACAACGTGTTTTATTAAGACACCTCTGACTGCGTGTTCCATTAGGACACCTCCAACAACGTTTAACAATAGGACACCTCTGAAAATATGTTTCATTATAGACTATTAGGACACCTCTGACAATGTTTAACATTAGGACACCTCCGACAGCGTGTTTCATAAGGACACCTCCAACAACGTTTAACATTAGGACACCTACAACAGCGTGTTTCATTAAGATACCTCCGACAGCATGTTTCATTAGGACACCTCTGACAACGTGTTTCATTAGGACACCACCGACAATGTGTTTAATCAGGACACCTCCGACAGCGTGTTTCATAAGGACACCTCTGACAACGTGTTTCATTAGAACACCACCGACAATGTGTTTAATCAGGACACCTCTGACAGCGTGTTTCATCAGAACACATCAGACAGCGTTTCTCATTAGGACACCTACAACAATGTGTTTCACTAGGACACCTCTGACAACGTTTAGCATTAAGACACCTCCGACAGCGTGTCTCTTTAGGACACCTCCGACAGCGTGTTTCATTAGGACACTTCCAACTGTGGGTGTCATTAGGACACCTCCGACGTTGTGTTTCATGAGGACACCTCAAACAGCGTGTTTCATTAGGAAACCTCCGACAACATGTTTCACTAGGACACCTCCGACAGCGTGTTTCATTAGGACACCTCCGACAGCGTGTTTCATTAGGACACCTCCGACAATGTGTTTAATCAGGACACCTCTGACAGCGTGTTTCATCAGAACACATTAGACAGCGTTTCTCATTAGGACACCTCCGACAGCGTGTTTCATTAGGACACCTCCGACAGCGTGTTTCATTAGGACACCTCCGACAATGTGTTTCATTAGGACACCTCTGACAGCGTGTTTCATTCGGACACCACCGACAATGTGTTTAATCAGGACACCTCTGACAGCGTGTTTCATCAGAACACATCAGACAGCGTTTCTCATTAGGACACCTACGACAATGTGTTTCACTAGGACACCTCTGACAACGTTTAGCATTAAGACACCTCCGACAGCGTGTCTCTTTAGGACACCTCCGACAGCGTGTCTCTTTAGGACAACTCCGACAGCGTGTTTCATTAGGACACTTCCAACTGTGGGTGTCATTAGGACACCTCCGACATTGTGTTTCATGAGGACACCTCCGACATTGTGTCTCATTAGGACACCTCCGACAGTGTGTTTCATTAGGACACCTCCGACATAGTGTTTCATGAGGACACCTCAAACAGCGTGTCTCATTAGGACACCTCCGAAAGCTTGTCTCATTAGGACACCTCCGACAATGTGTGTATCAGTGTGACCCCTCCGACAGTCCGTGTATCAGGATTACACTTCTGAAAGTGCTTGTATCGGTGTGACATCTCCGACAGTGTGTGTATCAGTGTGACATCTCCGACAGTCCGTGCATCAGGGTTACACTTCTGAAAGTGCTTATATCGGTGTGACATCTCCGACAGTGTGTGTATCGGTGTGACATCTCCGACAGTTTGTGTATCAGTGTGACATCTACGACAGTGTGTGTATCAGTGTGACGTCTCCGACAGCGCGTTTCATTGTGTGAATGAGTCTTTGCCCATGTGAGGATTTGAACCCTGCGTTCGACGAATGAATGCTTTACCCACCAGGCAACCCATCGGCCCCATGTGTTTGAAGGCCCCAGTCCGACCGCCTGCATCTTCGTGGCGTAATAACTCCGACAGCGTGACTCATTGTGAAGTTACACCGACAGCGTGTCTCATTGTGACGTAACACCTCTAACAGCGTGCATCATCGTGACGTAACATCTCCGACAGCCTGTATCATTGTTTGTTTGTTGTTTAACGCCGCAGCTACATGACGGCGGTCTGTAAATAATCGAGTCGAGACCAGACAATCCAGTGATTGATATAATGAGCATCGATCCACGCAATTTGGATAAAATGACATGCATCAACCAAGTCAGCGAGCCCGACCACCCGATCCCGTTAGTCGCCTCTTACGAGAAGCATTGGTTGCTGAAGACCTATTCCAACCCGGATCTTCACGGGTTCATTGTGACAAATAACTCCGACAGCCTGCACCATTGTGACGTCACACGTCCGACAAGGTGCATCATTGTGACGTAACTCCGACAGTGTGTAACATTGTGATTGTTCTTGTTTTGTAGATGCTACACCTAGATGAAGTGTCGAATATACCGCTGCCGTATGAACAGGAGAGTTTCCGGAGGATGGGGACTGGTAATGCGAGCAGATACAACCGCTTCAACCCGCAATTCTAGTCTATGTAGGCAGGCATTGGACTACATAAAGTAACATGCATCCCGTGATGGCGTCTCCCCTACCTGTTCAGCATACATCCCGTGATGGCGTCTCCCCGACCTGTGGCAGCATACATCCCGTGATGGCGTCTCCCCAACCTGTGGCAGCATACATCCCGTGATGGCGCCTTCCCAAGCTGTCGCAGCATACATCCCGTGATGGCGTCAACCAAACCTGTGGAAGCATACATCACAGGATGGCGTCTCCCCAACCTGTGGCAGCATACATCCCGTGATGGCGTCTCCCCTACCTGTGGCAGCATACATCACAGGATGGTGTCTCCCCTACCTGTGGCAGCGTACATCCCGTGATGGCGTCTCCCCAACCTGTGGCAGCGTACATCCCGTGATGGCGTCTCCCCTACCTGTGGCAGCATACATCCCGTGGTGGCGTCTCCCCAACCTGTGGCAGCATACATCCCGTGATGGCGTCTCCCCGACCTGTGGCAGCATACATCCCGTGATGGCGTCTCCCTGACCTGTGGCAGCATACATCCTGTGATGGCGTCTCCCCGACCTGTGGCAGCGTACATCCCGTGATGGCGTCTCCCCGACCTGTGGCAGCGTACATCCCGTGATGGCGTCTACCCAACCTGTGGCAACATATATCCCGTGATGACGTCTCCCCAACCTGTGACAGCATACATCCCGTGATGGCGTCTCCCCTACCTGTGGCAGCAAACATCCTGTGATGGCGTCTCCTCGACCTGTGGCAGCGTACATCCCCTGATAGAGTCTACCCAACCTGTGGAAGCATACATCCTGTGATGGCGTCTCCCCTACCTGTGGCAGCGTACATCACAGGATGGCGTCTCCCCAACCTGTCACAGCATACATCCCGTGATGGCGTCTCCCCTACCTGTGGCAGCAAACATCACAGGATGGCGTCTCCCCAACCTGTGGCAGCATACATCCCGTGATGGCGTCTTCCCGAACTGTGGCAGCATACAACACAGGATGGCGTCTCCCCTACCTGTGGCAGCGTACATCACAGGATGGCGTCTCCCCAACCTGTCGCAGCGTACATCCCATGATGGCGTCTCCCCTACCTGTGGCAGCATACATCCCGTGATAAGATGCGATTTTACTTGAAACGCTAATGATGATGTCATGTCCCTCTTGAAATCACATTTCAATAACGTGTGTAACTCCGGACTATTCCACGAAACTATCATTATTTTGGGGTATATTAAAGATACCAGCACTTTCAATACCAGATTAGCTATTTGGGCAATTATGAAGGAGGAAATTCCGGCGACACAGATCCGATTTTCGTCTAGGATATTCAACCTGTCTGAGCACGTTCATATTAGATTTGAGCAAAATAAACCCCAGTACCCATACTTCGGCCCGGGATGTGCCTTCTGGGGGAGTAGCAGGGCGTGGAGTCAACCCACAGACCTTGTCAGCTTGGTCATGTGGACAAGGCGTCCGACCTCTGATCAGAAGGTCCTGGTTCGAATCCCGTCACGGGACTCGGAAATTGTATTGCCGCTACAGATGCAACAAAACTCTTTCCGAGTCTTTCAATTGCCCTTCTGGTTTCCGCGAAGGATGTATCTAAAGCCCTTTGTTGTTTTCATTCTTGATATGTGAGTTGTGAAATGAAATTAGTTGTTATGGTCAACACAGTTTCCAATTATTTCCTGACGAGGAATTATTTCTTTTATTGTTTGCTGCTGATGAAATATTAGTGCCTGAATCAGTTGTAGACTGCAAATGATGTCTTGGATGCATACGCCTTGCATATTGAACATGAGTAGCCTTGCTGTGGCTTTAAACATTTGTTAACAATGTATCAAACTTTGATATGTGAACGGCAAATGTAATTCACCTTTAGTGTCATTTTACTTTATCATTTTAACCCTACATATTTTTTCAAAGTTCTTTTGAGCTAGCATGAATATCATAAAATACTTAGCACGTCAATGCTCATAATTCCCTCAATTCACGATGAAGGCTCTGGTATGGCTAGTGTACATTTCTGTATACTGAAACGTGCCTGGGTTACATATCTGTAGTACCCGTGACAACGACCCCTTCAGCTTTATTCCTCCATTCAGTGATCCTACATTAAATATTCTTCACGAGTACTGGAATCGTGAAATTTGCCACGAAACGCGAGTTTAGACCGCTGGTCTGAAAGGCGTCATAAAATTAATGCAATTAGTCATGCAAATAAACTGTGAAAAGCTAATCAGCAAACGAAAACACCATGCTATGTCTACAGACTTAGAATTCCATGATGTGGTATTGGCTGAAGGAAGTTCAATTGAAAACTATCATTTGCCATCTTCAAAACCTTAACTTCATTCAGTTGATCTAACTTCTATGATATCAAAAGCAGGACAGTTTATCCTTATCTTTCATGAAATAAAACGTGAAAGAGGACATGTACAAGCATTGAATGGAATGGTGCTTGCCTATTGGACAATTATATTTGTCATTTTCGTGAAAATTCCCTTCACTGGAGGTAGTGACACGTGTTTGGTTATGTATAGAAGCTATTATTGTGATGTACTGATGCACCCAACTGTTTCCTGAAATGGTTGCACAATGTTGATAGTGATATATCAGAAAGTAACGAGGGGCGTTCAATAAGTTTTGCAACTTAGGCATTTGTGTTTACACAAACAATGTCTACTTGTGGCAGGGGTGACACTAGTCATAACATCAGGATGACACGTGTCATAACAAGTTCCAGACACAACAATAAGTTAGATGTGATGGCTTCATTCACCTAAGGGTAGTCACAGCCATGGATTCTCTCAAACATGAAAAACGCACTGTAATAAAGTTCCTTACTAAGAAGGGATGCAAAGCAAAGGAAATCCATAATTGCATGTGTAAAGTGATTGGTAAGGATGCTCCTGACTATTCGACAGTTTGCCGTTGGTCTCTACAGTTTAAAAGGGGTAGGGAGTCCGTAGACGTGACCAAAGGTCAGGCAGGCCTTCAGATGCCACCCAACCGGAAACCATTGCTGCTATAGAAAGATGAATTTTGTCTGACCGACGAGTGAAAGTGTCTGAACTTTCTAGGGAATTCCAAATATCAGTTGGAACTGTTGGAACAATTATTCATGAACATCTTGGTATGTATCCAAGGTATCTGCAAGATGGGTACCTAGAAACCTCAAAGTTCAAGATCGCCATCAGAGAACTGAAAGTTGCCGAGACCTCCTGGATCTCTATACTGCTGGTGAAGCCAGATTTCTTTCTCGTCTAGTTAAGGTGATGAAACAGGGATCCACCACTGGAAACCTGAAACTAAATTGGAATCCATGCACTGGAAGCACCCCATTTCTCCGCCCAAGAGGAAGTTTCGCACTCAACCATCGGCTGGCAACGTAATGGCCACCATATTTTGGGATGCAAGAGGCATATTACTGATTGTTTCCATGCCACCAAAAACTACAATCAATGGACAGTATTATGCTAATGTAATGAAAGAATTGCGAAAATCTATTCGCCAGAAACGCCGTGGGATGTTAACACGTGGTATTCTACTTTTGCATGACAACGCTCCGGTTCACAAGTCGAGAAGTGCACAGGCCGCCATATGTGAATGTGGATTCGAACAGTTAAATCACCCACCCTACAGCCAAGACTTAGCCCCCAGTGACTATTTCCTGTTCCGGCAAATGAAATCTACCCTACGTGGAAGATGCTTCCAGGATGACGAGTACATAAAGGCTGCCACAGAGGCGTGGTTAGAGGGCCAATCTGTGGATTTCTATAAAAGTGGTATTAAAAGCTTGAGGGACAAATGGAATTGCGTATTGAGGTGAATGGAGATTTTATTGAAATTAAAAGTGCAAAAGATATTCTACGACTTGGTCTCATATTGAAGTTGCAAACCTTATTGAACGCCCCTCGCATATGTCCTGAGGTTTCTTCATTGAATGTACGTGTAGGGGACTACTTCATTTTAGGATCAGTTATTTATTTATAATTATGATAATACTGTCAGTATTATACCTCCAGATTATTACAAAAAAAACGTTTCATATTTATTTTGTATTAAACATAGAGAGAGGTAAGGAATTTATGGAGATTACTTCTAACATTGGCATTGTTGATACAATTCTTAATACTTTAAGATATTACAACATGCTCAAATGTTACAAGAAATATATATACTAAACCGCAAAAGAAACGACACCATGGATAGATATATGAAAAACCTTATTTGTCCAAATACTGTAAACATACTTTGAGACATATTAAAAAGATGAAACTTGGCAAAATCGATCATCAAGGTTGAAATTAAAGTGTCACGTGTTCTTAAAGTGAAATACAACACTAGTCTCTGAGAAAATGCTATCACAAGTCAGTATTTCGTGTGTCCGCCATGTGCATTGATGACTGCCGTCTCTGAATCTCGTCCCATATGTGCTCAATGGGATTTAAATCGGGACTGGAGGAAGTCTCTTGTTGCTCTCGCAGTGTATAGGCAAGGGCGTTATCATGCTGAAACTCGTGGTTGCGGCGACGTACCAAATGAGGTTTGGCGTGTGGTCTCGAGACTTGATCAATGTACTGAGCTGCTGTCGCTGCTGCTCCCTGGACCGATGTTCTGGTAGACCACAGGGCCGACCCTCTGTGCAAGACCAATTCCACCCCATCCAGAACATCGGACCTGGGCGAGGCAATGGTGTCAAGGCAGCTCGGTAAACATCAGTAAACAGTAAAAGAGTTCCGACTACAGCGTCCTCCATGTAAAGGGTCTGATATGTATGCCTCTTTTAGTTCATTAGCAACTTGATGATTAACCTCAGATCTCACCAATAAATCTTGGCCGCACATTTCTGCGGGAGATGACATGATGTATTTTCGTTCAGTTACAAAAACAGGAAGTAAACATGAACCTCAACGGGAGACGGTGAATATTACTTCCACTCCAAGAACCAAACTGGAATGACTGTTAACTTTCAAACATCGTATATATTTCCATGTACCACAGACACTGTCGCACGTTTTTACCTCGGCGATTGAATACTTGATGAGCCAACCGCTTGGTGATCTGTACAATGTGTGCCTTCAAGCGATTTCCAAAGACGAACAAGTTTCTTTATTCATGAAGAATATGAAGACATATTCTGAAACTGCTCATGTATCCGTAATGTGAAATTGAGATGTTTCATTTCAACCTAGCTTTTATAACATTCATACATTCATTTATCATATGTTCGATGAATAATATGTCATGCGAACTAGATATAATTTTAGGAGGACGTGTATGGTCCTTAGGGTACGATATGAGAGAAGGAGATTTTTCAGAGTTGGAAATTAAGACTGAAAATAAGAATGAGACTGACTTTTTACAACGAAATATATCACGGCGTGAATAAAGTATTTTATATTCACTTATTCATGTGAAAATGATTGATGGTATTGTTTGAATCAGATTATTTTCCATCCAAAAATGAAAGGAACGTCTGTATTTTGTAAGCAAAAACAAAATATATATATTTCCTCGCAGTCGGCTGTGATGATCAAATGGTGAATGAGTACATTCTCCTCTTTGTCTCGATGACGACATTCTACGTATTCATTGAATAGTTATATAGGACTGTTTGATTCTTTCACGATAGGGTGACATTACATTTGATGACGATCATTCTAGTATGCGTCTGAAGGTATCTACCCCGACTACATTCCAATAACTTCAATGCCATTCCTAAGAAATTTCACACTTTTCACGAAAGGGTGACAATCCATTTGATGACGATCATTCTAGTATGTATCTGAAGGAATCTACTCCGACTACATTCCAAATGGTATTGGTTGAATCAGGGATTACGAGAGTTAAACTAATAATTTTTCTTAAGCCTTATCTTTAGAGGAATGTTCTCCTATTTGCCTCGATGACGACATTCTACGTATCCATTGAGTAACTTTACTGAACAACAAAAGTTCCCGTGACATTGAATAAGATTTAATGCAAAGTTATGTTTTTTTACCAAATCTGAAACAATTTCGGTTTGCAACAGATAAAAGACTCCTGTAAGTGTTCAAATGGTTTAATTTGCCATACTGACTTCAGAAAATGCGTGATTTCATAAAAACAACAACAACATGAACATGCCAAAATGTCAATTTACAAATCAATAGCGTGTGTGTCCACCTCTGGTTGCGATGCAAGCAACACATCTTCGTCTCATGGAATGGACCAGGAGTCGTAAAAAGTCCTGTGGGATATCTGTCCATATCTGCTAGAGCATGTTTCGAAGTTCCTGGAGTGTCTGTGGAACACATGGTTGATGTCGAAGGCTCCGAACCATCTCATCCCACATGTGCTCGATTGGTGAGAGATCAGGGGAGCGAGCTGGCCAGGGGATGACATTCACGTTGTTTTGTTGAAGAGAATCCTGAACAAGTCGAGCAATATGAGGCCGGGCGTCATGTTGAAAGGTAATGCCTGGGTCATGATAACGCAAAAACGGTAGAACAACAAGGCCGATGATCTCGTCGCGGTAGCGCTTCCCATTAAGATTTCCCTCTACCAATATCAAACCCACCCCATACCATAACGCTGCCGCCCCCGAACCGATCTACTTCCATGACATAATGATTGACGTAACGTTCCTCTCGACGTCGGTACACTCGAATCCGTCCATCGCTGTGGCTGAGGTGAAAAAGAGACTCGTAAGTGAATAGAACTTGTCCCCACTGCTTGGCCGTCCAGCGTAGACGCTGTCTGCACCACTGTAGACGTGCTTGACGGTGGTTTCATGTCAAAATGGGACATCTGGCGGGTCTTCTGGTGACAATCCCTGCACATCTGAGGCGACGACGTACGGTTTGTGAAGATATTCATCGAAGGCCAGGGATGCTTCTTGCAGTCACTTTTGCTGGCTGGAATCGATTTCGTAGGTGTGTTGTTCGAATCTAGTTGTCTTGTCGATTATTGGTTACGCGTGGCCTGTCACTCCGAGGATGGTCTCTGACTGCATTCGTCTGTTGCAAACGTTGCCAGAAACACCAAATGGTGTTTCTGTGGACGTTAAATTGTCTTGCAACATCACGTTGACTCGATCCTGCTTCAAGCATACCAATGGCTCGAAGACGCTCATTTTCGGACAGGCTTGGCATTTCGTAATGTTGAATAATTACGTAATTTTGTTGTTTTTCTGAGTGTTGTCAGCACGATGCTAAACAATGCATATGGAATCCCGTTAACGCACTTGCTTTTATACCCATTCTTGGGTAGTGAAATGCATGGGGCTTGCATAAAAGTCAACTTTTGCATGGAATGCATGCTTTTCTGTAGCAGTTGCGTTTTTGTGACTTGATTCCATACATGTACTACAATATTGAAAACCAAACTTTACTTGTTTGAAAATTACACTAAAATATTGGTGTCACAGGAACTTTTGTTGTTGAGTATACAGATCGAGTTAAAAGATCGAGGACTGTTTTATTCTTTTTTCTTTCATGACGACCATTCTAGTATGTATCTGAAGGAATCTTGAACTATCTTCCCCAACTACATTCCAAATAAGTATAGGATAAAACACGTCCGAGGGTTGTTATGATATTCCGAGGGAAGGGGTTTTAAATATCACAACAACCCGAGGGGAAGTGTTTTATCTTACTTATAAACCGAGAAAAGAAACTTAAAACAACATTTATCAAAGTGACTGAATCTTTAGTCTATTAGACTAGCTTGATATTCAGACGTTCTCGTCGATTTTACAGGCAAAGTGACTTATTTCAGGGATAGTCCCTTTGTGTTTGTTTCCCGTTAGTTAACCCGGCCGAGGTTATTCATTCATTAGAGTATTGGGGCGGTCGGGTAGCCTGGTGGTTAAAGCGTTTGCTCGTCACGCTGAAGACCCGGGTTCGATTCCCGACATGGGTACAATGTATGAAGCCCATTTCTGGTGTCCCCGCCGTGATATTGCTGGAATATTGCTAAAAGCGGCGTAAAATCAAACTCACTCACTCACTCACATTGGAGTATTGGGTTCTGGCCCGGAAGAGCGAAATCTAGCCATAATCAACTCTAAAATCTCTTCAGGGACGGTCGGGTAGCCTAGTGGTTAAAGCATTCGCTCGTCACGCCGAAGACCCGGGTTCGATTCCCGACATGGGTACATTGTGTGAAGCCCATTTCTGGTGTCCCCCGCCGTGATATTGCTGGAATATTGCTAAAAGCGGCGTAAACCATACTCACTCACTCACTCACTAAAATCTCTTCGCTTTCGTGAAGCTACAGTAAGACTGGTCACGCTACAGTATACACGGGATATTGCTATACCGGGACTCTCAAATTACAAGAAAAACATAGAAATGCGTATACCGTAATCACACTAGTAATTTATTAGATGCTGAAGTATAGTATAGTTGCACAAAAGTACTTTACATTTAACAAATTTAATAACTCTAATACTTTTAATATTTCATAGATGTACATTATAATTTCTACAAAAACAACAATAACTCATATCTTAATATATAATAGTAAATACATAAATACATTCTATAATAAATTTGCGGTTGCACTGGCATACACGTTGTGTTCAAGTCATTCACTCCAAGTGGATCAGGTCACCAACGTGATCTGTGTACTCAACTTCGCCGATGACGTTGTTGACGAGATTGTCTTACAGAGCCTGAAGACGGTTGTCAATCAGCCGGTATCTTCTCTTTCTGGGTGGTGCTG